TCTAGAACGACGGGAAATCTGGAACGAGTCTTTTAGCCAATATAAGACCGCTCTCAGTCCGATAAGAAAACCAGCTATCCTACAACGCTGGTCTGGTCACCAATTAAAAGGTCTTGAGACGGTGTCATTCGGGCTTTCGCGCCTAAAAGATCATCATTTCATCTGCTGTGTTTGGAAAAGGCTCGTCATTCGGGTGACCCTAGACAGCTTATGGTCACAGCCTGGGAAGCCGATATCCCTGGAGAACCGCCAAAACAAGTTGGTCAATTATCCCAGCCGACCCAACGGTCAAGTCAGAATCAGATTGCATGACTGACAAGGCCGCGAAACTCCGGGTCACGAGGCGTTTTTCCGCGAATCGACTGGCGACCTTGTTTGGTGGAAAGCGACCTTGCCCATTAAGTCCCGGGACACGACAAGATGCAAGAAGACGTACTGTATATGAGGCACAACATATGTTTATTCGACGTTCTTGTGGCCTGTTCTTTCCCAAGGGAATGCGACCTCGGTTGTCCGAAAACAGTTGTTGGCAATGGCCTCCTCTTCTGGAGCCTGTCTTCCACCCACGACCAATTGCCGCCACCGGCTTCGCATACGTATCATGGTTGCTGACCCAAACAACAGCCAGGGGTACAGCTGGCAGATTATCACAAACTCTGACAAGGGCTGCCATTTGCAAATTCGCATCGCGTTCCTGCACAGCATCTGCATGATGCACAGTGAAATAAGGATGTAGGTCACGCTGTGAAGCTCCCAACCCATCCACGGCACGCAATTGAGACCGGCGAAGCCATCCACAATGCCCGTCTTGTGACCACCCCGACAGGTGTGTCTTTTGCTGCCATTGAGGGTGGAACTGCTCATTAGCCCCAGACAAATGCCAAAGAATGCTGACATGTAGACAAACGAATGTGTGATGCCGCGATATGAACGCTGTGAGGAAGCAGGGGATGGGGATACTCGATCTTACAATACCGTACCGGTAACATACTTACTAAATTTGAGTCGATTTTGAGGATGTCCTTTTGCAACTTTGGTGGCCGAGGGTAGGCTCGAGGCACATGAAGCGCTGTAGCGCATTCGTACTGTACGAGCACAGCAGAAGGCGTGTACACGTGTACAGTGCATGTCATGGTCGAAAACCGGTACGTACTGTAATGGCATACTCACCTCACTCACCGCATTTACCAGGATCGCCGCCTGGTCCGTCGCCATTTTCACTTGTCGATACATCTCAGAAATCCCAAGCGCAGCACCAGGTCCCAGCACCCGCGTACCGTACAAGTGCAGTTCCTAACGATGTCGGGCTCAACATTGTAACGGCTCGACTGAGATCTTGCGAAAACCCCCCTTCCCTCAATCACCCATCCATTTGGGCTTCAGTTCGCGCTCGACGACAACGGAAGCTTCCCCCACTTCAATCTGGGCAATCTCACCCAGAGACCATCGATGATCATCAAATCTGGGCTGGGGCATGTTGGGTATCTGCGGTTTTTTTTTCTCCCGGAGTGATCGTCACTTTTCAGATGACGGTGACGCCTCTTTGGGAACCCTCCACTTGTTCTTCTCGTCGGTATTTCCATTAAAACCACTCGTTCTCACAAGTTCTTCACCTTTACCAGGATGCCAAGTCCCAATCTCATCTCGCACATTTCATCACGGGTGGGCGGGCTGGCGGGATCGCACCTGGTTGAGACCGGCCGAGAAGCACCACTGACGTCGTAGGTATCAATCGGTCCCATTCCACCCCCGGGACGGCATGAGCATAGGAAAATCAAAGGGACCATCAACTGCGACGCCGTTATGCTGATTGGTATTCAGTGTTTTCATGCAAACCAAAGGAAATATGTCAAATTTGTTGGCTTTTCTTTGCATCTGGAGCGACATGATATTGATAGGGGTAGGGGGACATGATATCGCACACCTCCCAAGCGTCGACATATGGTTGGGACAAGACACCAACATGAAAGGCGAAGGATGACCAGCAAGCAGCGACGCTATAGACGACTACAAGTGCAAGTACAACATGGGGATATACGGTACGCAAAGTACTGTATGAGACACCAACGAGCAGCAGGACCGGGAACTCTGTCGATGAGGTTGTATCGGATCGTATCGGATCGCATTGTATGCACCATGCCTTACCCCCCCAGCCGATGGAAATGGATGTGCACCAGACGGGAGTTTTTGTATCCCCTCGTGCCGTTGCTCAGGTCAGGTCGGTCAGTCTCTGTTGTAAGAAATGGGCTGGGTTGGAAGCAGGATGCTTGGCCGCCTTCCGCCCGCCCTGTCGCAAGTCCCTTTTTTCTCCGACTCTTGTGTCATTCCGAACACACTCTCTCACAGCACAAGGCCGCACAACCACAGATTCTTGCCTTGCCGTGCTGCAGCTGCCCAGCTGCCCTTGTGCTTGTGAGTTTGTGATCCCTTCAGATTCAGGTTTGGCGCTGGCTGGCTCGCTGGCTCTGTTCTGAGGTGATTATTACAAGATCCGGTCCTCGTCCGCTTGTTGAACGGCGTCGCTTCTCAAAAGCGCTTGGTACTTTTTTACCCCCTTTCACTCTCCCGGGTTCCCCTTTTGTTGTCTTTGTGGTGTCACCAGTGCCATCAAGACAAATTGTGATATCCATTCGCCTGTCTACCCGTTTCTCGAATTTTTGTAACCGTCCACTTCACTTAGTGCGACGCGTCATCCAAGCAAGCACAGGACTGTCACCGGCAGCGAGTGTAGTTCTTAGAGGCTTTCGTGAACGGTTCTCTGTTCAACTATTGGAAAGGTACAAATAGCCTTGAGCGTTTGCGCAGAAGAAGCTTGACAACATAACAATTCCCACTGAATGGATCGGAAACATCGGCCATTCCAGCTGGCAAGTAGGGAAACAAGGTGAAGCGAAGGGGGTACAGAAAGGCTAAAAGCCACTAGAAGAAAGTGAGTCCTAGGTAATAAACACACATCAACGACGGGAAGGTGGGAAAAGCCCCAACGTTCTTCGCCAGGTCTACATCCGTCACTCCACCATTCATCGGCCATCTCAGCCATCCCCCATCGAGTTGGATTCCTGACGCTAGCTAGTAATTCTAACCATTCAGCCAAACTCCCCACCGAGGAGAGGAGGGACGGTCCCATGTACATTCGCCCGATCTGCGACATTGAAGACGGACGGCACAAGCCTAGTGCACGCCTTGCTTGGCTCGATTTCGGTTCCCTCTCAACCCTCGCAATTCCCACAGCCACGGCACGACACGACAGCCCAGAGGAGAACAGACAAGAGACGGCTCCATTGCCTGGCAAGTGGTGAGGGTAAGGTAGGTAGGTTGTACGTACCTACTCCTTTTTGGGATGTACCGCCTTTCGCGCCTGTACCTCGTGCACTTGACCCAAACAGGCCAAGTAGAGAGACAATGGGTCCAGCAGCTTTTACAGCGGAAACCAGAGAGCGGCAGGGGTGTGTGCTCTTTGCACTTGGCTTGAATCCTTCCATCCCAGGTTCCATTCCCAGATTCCTGACCCATTCCCGTGGAATACAGGTACACCTTTTCCCACTAAAAAAGGTACAGGTAGCCGGCTCACCACGCAAATCCACAGCTGAACAAGTGTGGTGGAAGCGGTGCCTGATTCCTTGACGGACAGGAGCGTCCCTCGGCCTTTCAACACCTCACCTCAGGGAACGGGCATCTGTCATCCACCGGCCATCCACTAGCCGCAGAAGTGCAGGACGGGACGCAAACCCAGACCCAGCAGATGGAGGCAGCGAGTCCCGTCGAGTGCTGCAGCATCTCCCCCCAGTGCGTTCAATGCATCCACAGCAAGTAGCGTCGAGTAGGTAGCGTAGGGCCACCTGAATCCACTTGCACCCGGACCTGTGGTGCACATTGCCCGGTGTTTCCTTCCAAACGACCCCTGCTGGAAGCTGCTGGTGCCCGTCTTCCACTTCCTGCCCGCTCTTACGCCAAGGTACCTTACTGGACCCCCTCCCCCCCCTGCTCCATCGCTCCCAAGTCCCAAGTCCCAGGTTCCTTTTCCCCCATCCCCCCAGTCTCCCCCGTTGGCAGCCCATCCCCCATTCCCCTGGACCCCCCTTCCCGGCCTCCTTCCCCCCCCCCCCCATGCGGCTACCGTCTTAAAAAGTCACAAAAAGACAAGAACATCTCGTTCGCTCGCCACCACCTTACCTGCATGTCCATCCGTCCCCTTGGGTTCCAACATTGACGACTCAGGCTGTCACTTCTGGCCCGGAAATACTGACAAAACCCCGAATCCTCCTCAGCGGTCCCCCCTCCCTCAATCTTGTCCCATCCCATCTGGCTCCCATCTGGCTCCCATCTGCAATCTCCATTCCTGCCATTCCAGCAGCTGGTCGCAGTGGACGTTGCAGTCTCCAATCTTAACTCGACAGAACATCAGTCCGTCCGGGTGGGTTTTCCAACTTTTGCATCGATACCGTACCTACTACATACAAGAGACGGAAGCAGACAAGAGACTTGTTACAACATACCTGACCGGACCGAAGGCGTGGCCTCTCTTATCCACTCGTCACCCAACTCCATCTCGATCCCGTTCAGATCTCAGATCTCCCAACCTGAATTGAAGAGCCCAGACTGAATACCCACCACCCACCACTGCGATTCGGCCTGTGCACCTCCGCCTGACAGCCACCACCACGCAATCTTACCACCTCCACGGCCATTCAGCATCTTTTTGTCCTTTCTCAACTCTTCACCAACACACTCCATTGCACGACCAACTACTACTACCACCACCGGCGACGCACTGTTATATTCTTGTCTACTCGGTACCTATTGTGCCCTTATAAGAGTGTATATCCGCGAGCGATACCAACGGACTGTCTCTCCGGTCCGTCCCGCCCTTTACGCCCACCGATAGACCTGCTGCGTCTCTTTCATCCCGTCTATCCTGGCCTCTCCGAGTCAGATGCTAGTTTGAGCTAGGGGTGCTCTGCTTTGGGTCATCGACGCCATTTATTTTATTAAGACCCGCTATGGAAGCGGGCGATTCTGCTGCTAGGCAAAGGTGCGTCTCTTCCTTCTCACGTCAATCCGCCATCGGGTTCTTGTCTTGCATAGTCGAGCCGTTGGGTTAACATTTTGTCTTCTGCTACCTAGCGGGATCCTGTCTGCCACCACTACTCGTGAACACTTTGATCCAGCACGACCATACAACAGCAGAAGCAGCAGAGAAGGCACAGCGATGGCGACGGCAACATTGATCAACCCAAGCTCCCAATACCACTCGCACTCATTTTCCCACGGCGCCTACCACCCTTCGTCGTCCACAAGCATTCCCGGCATGATTTCGCCAGTAGATTCCCGGCGGACGTCCGACGAGTCGGAGAACCCTCACCGACAGTCGTTGCCTTCCATTTCAGAAGTCATCTCGGGTACCAAGCCGACCTCCTACCCTCCACATGCCCCGACGTCACTGCCGCCATCCCAGAGTCTTCCTTCGCCATTTGCACCATCTGGGCCGCCACGAAGTTACGATGTTGACAAGCATCCTTCGCCAAGGGCGCTGCATCCCAGCTCGGGCTTCCCCCGCCCTGATCCTTTACCCGCCTTCTCCGATCCCGCAAGACCTTCATTGTCCAGCAGGCCGCCTCCGCCTCCCCCGCTGAATACATTTCCCACACACCATCAGCATCCCTCGCCACCAGTGAAGCTTGAACAAATGGAGGTTGACCAAAGGCATGCCGAGGCATCCCCAATGAGTGCCGGATATCCCCACCATCCTCCAGGACACCCAGCGGGACCCCATTACTCGCAAACGGGACGTCTTCCTCCTGGCCAACTACCGTTGTCGGCTTACCCTGTTTCCCCCAGGCATAGTGGACCCGGACTGCCATCACCATACGAATCGCAGCACCGACCGCCTATGTACCCAGAGGAGCAAGAATATAGGCATGGTCATGCTAGAAGTACCGAATACAAGTCTACCTCGGAAAGGTCTTTGCCGGACTGGTCGTCTTATGGGGAGATGATGTACATGGTAAGTGTGAAACTGTAGTTGACTCGTTCACTTTTTCCACGTCTAATAATCAAGAATAAGCAGATCGCGCACGCTGGGCGCACCGTTTATCATTTCGCTGAAGGCTACGGCGCCGCGGCACGGGAACAACAAGGACAGCCGCTTCCATCAAGACTACCAACCGAAAGCGAAATCTCCGTTGTCATCGACAGCGCAGTTGTCGCTGTCGAGAATCTGAAGAACCTCCGACACCTCATCGCCCAGATCAATTCGGAACGGTCGCGAGAGAATGGCGGACGCAAGTCTGGAGCGGAAGACGATGATGTTTCCATGTATGGTGACGGCATGGGAAAGCATTCATCCTTCAACGAAGTGAAGAAAAGGCGTGGCGTAAGTTGTTTTGTCCCAACTTTAGAGCCTGGTGCAAAGAGATGGAAACGAGCCTGAAGCTTACACATTTCTGTGATACAGCGTGCAGCTCCTCCTGGAAGATGCCATAGCTGCAACAGGATCGATACTCCCGAATGGAGGCGCGGCCCAGACGGCGCGAGAACTCTCTGCAACGCCTGCGGCTTGCACTACGCCAAGCTTGAGCGCAAACGACAATTGGAACAACGATCCATCCGACCCAAACCCACCGACGATCGACACTAGATTTATAATCCGGCAGAAAAATACACCCACGGCGGGCATTCCACCCCAGTCTCGACAAACTCGATTGCAGCCATTGGCGCCATGTGTGCCGGTTACATCGAAGATACTTGTCGACTTGCCTCATATCTGCAGCGTGCAGACGGTACAGACGCTTTCGAGTCACGATTTATCTTCCAATTTGTTTTAGCAAGCCTTCTTTTATCTTGGGTCCTATGTTGTCTTTTATACCCGGGGTTCTGGTTTTGGGGGTTCTGGGCTTGGTCTGGTTGCGGTTCTAGGCGCAGCACAAAGAAGGCAAAGGTCCGGGCATATGAGGGGATCTGAGATTTTGTTCAATGAATCAACGCAAAAGCCCTTGTTTATTCTACATCTTGAAAAAAGCTGTGTATACTTTATACCCCTTCTCCACCGCTGTTTTCCAGAACCGGTATATAGGTGCGACTTCGTTTCGCACAAATTCAGGCTGAAAGAGAGAGGGATCTGCTATAGAGCTAACAAGGCTTATGCGGCTTCTTTCTCGTTACACTATCTGCATACACGAATCTGCAGTTCCAATCTGTTTCGCTATTCTGGTAAAGCAAACATCAGAGTTCATGGCATCTGGCATGGCGTTTCGTGCCCGGTTGTTTACGCGGATTCCTCGGCGGAACCCGTGATCTTGGGTACATCAGGACCGAGAGAGGAGCGGTCGCGAAACAACGGCCATTCTGGCTTTTTCTACATTGAATACCTTCCTAAAAATTCCTTTGAAAAAGTTGCGTCCTTGCCAGTACGCAGACGGGACCCAGTACCCGTGCCACGCTATTGTTTTTCTGCGTTGTATTGCTCTGTGGCGTCGATTAGGTTTTTATTTGCTTGCCTTCTTTCCGTTTCCACGCACACCGGACGGAACACGATCTACAACAAGCATGTCTACCCAATAACCATGCCGGAGTGCGAGATCAGCGATCAGATGATGTGGCTTAATCTAGCGGTAGGGCTTGGATACGAGGGCAAAGAAAGCAATCCTTTTGTAAGGTATCTTTTGACAAAGGGCGGAAAGGGTCGGTTCCTTCCATGTGGGAAATCAACCTGTCGGGCGCGTTAGCAAACGAAACAAACACGCATTTCACACGCACACACGACAAAAACAAACACAATACGGGCAGGACGGGCTGGACGGGTCACAGTTATGATGAGGCTTGCAAGGCTTGTAAGGCTTGTAAGGCGTAAAGCCATGGCCATGGTATGCAAAATGGCATGGCAAAATACAAGGTTTAAGCCTACGTGGCGGCTGGGGATCAATGGACTTGGGAGGTATCACATAAAAGTGTGCTAGGTACCTACTTTAACAACCTCAGCCACTTCTTGTTAGGCAAAGAGTGAAAGGTTGTAGGGTAGATGGCATGACAGAAGAGATTGGTTCTTGTATGGGCGGGCAATAAGAGCAATGAAAAAGAAAGAAAAGAAGGAATCTTCAAGAGTTGATAACAAGTTGTTTGTTGTTTAAATCTACATAACTCTATATACCGCGCGCAAAGTCCATGTTAACCGCTCATCGCTACAGGTAGGTAGCTACTTCATCTTGTTACATACTGATAATACAAAACACTCGTAACCATGGAACTTCTATGCGGGGAAACGATGATGACATCTCAAAACGTTGCTTACTTGCTTCCTTACTATCTATATCTCTTGTCTACATGTACGTGTGGTAAGTAGTGTGTATGTACAAACATGTCCACATGTCGACATGTCCATACTACCTAGAATAATGAATTCTAGAAAAAACAAGAAAAAAAAACAAGGGGTAGAGCAGGTAGGATAGAAGCGAAAAGCGATAAAGTCATGTAATCATGTAATCAAAGGGGATGATGGAGGGATCGATCGACGTTTGCGATTGTGTCTCTTCTTCCGTTCCCTTGTCTACATTACATGTAACATGGCCAGTCAGTCAGTCAGCCTAGGTAGCTTAGTATGTAGCGTAGTGTGCCCGGAGGGCCGGGGACCGAGACCTAGACCGGGGATGGAGAACTGGGAAAGTCGGGGACGGGGGAATGGCTCTGAACACTGGGGAACCGATGGAATGCAAAGATTTGAGTTGTTGATACTTACCTCCGGAAAGATCGCGGGAGTGGTAAGTGGAAGTTGAAGTGGAAAGGGAAGTGGAACTTGAGCGAGTAGGATGGGATAGGCAAACTCAACTCAACAAGGTTCAAAACAAAGGGGGCTGACTGACTGGATGAAAGGAAAAAACCTAAATCTATACACATGGCGGTAAGGATTCTGTCTAGTACGCCCCTACGACTATCTACATAGCAAAAAGAATGCGGAATGTGTTTTTTTGTTTTTTTTCGGGCCGTGAAAAAAAGAGTGAAATCGGCTCGCTTGGCCGTCCCAAGGAGCGTTCAGATATGTAGAGGTAGAGATGGGCGGTGGCGGCGTATAGTATTGTTAGGTATCAATCAATCATACAGTGAGGTTGACAGACCGGCTGTGGTTCGAAAACCTTGAATCTGAGCGGCAAATTTGGTTGTTATCATGTCGTTATATCAAGTGGGTAGGTAGGTATACTCCATGTTAAAGCGTTGTCGTCAGGTTGTATAAGTGTAGCAGATCGTGGAAGTCAAGGGGGGGGCTTGTTGAGGGGACAACAAATCGTTCACAACTACAGTCAATTTTGGTGATTGTATACACGGTTTTCGTGAAAATGGGAGAAGTGAGTGAACAAGGGCACCCGTGTTCGAAAATTTGGCTAGAGGTCATCCTGGGTGAGGTCCCTATTGTGTACATCAGACTGACTCCTTTTGAGCAGGCAAGTTTACCTAATCAACGCATATTTGAAAAATAGCGAGAGCAGGTAGATGGATAGATACACGCGAGAAGTTTGAGGGTGTTAAACAGTTCTGCTTTTTGTCGTCTGCGCTTCATTAAAGTCAGGTCTGTCAGCAAATGTATTCACCACTTCCCCCCACCATTCGGCCCCGGTAATCAACCCCACCTTTTCTTTTTCTTGCCCGTTGGATCATCCCAGTTTAGGGCCAAGTCAGGTCAGGTAGACATGCGTTGTTGGAGGTCGGCTTATGTGCTGGGCGTACCGTACACCACTGCGTGCGTTGTGATCAACGGGTACACAGCTTTTAAGGTTGGCTGCCGCTTGTACTGTGTTCTACCGACTGTGTAGGCGGATTGGTAGGTACCTGATATTCTTGTATTCGCATGGTCGTCGAGGGTCGGTGCGCAAGAAACACTTGAGTGTCTGTTGTCTCGTGATAGATCTCAATCTTGAACCGTGCTTTATCATTCCAAGTTTAAACTCTCGTGTCCGGAAAAGGGCGACGTGAAAGGGTAATTGAGAGTAGTGGAGACAGGAACCAAGAGACTCACGAGTGTACATTGTAACAAAGAATAAGTAAGGAACTGCGTGGTGTAACAAGGATTTGGCCAACAAATGAATTGCATTCAGCCTGTCCCACATACCAATTTCACCTTTCCTCATGCCGGCCTCCGTCCTCTTCGAGATCCAAGATCCATCCCGTTGTACCCTCGTCAGCTATTTTGCGCTGTCTCGGTACCCCTAGGCCGCCCTTTGTAACGCTTAAAGCACGAGAAGCATTGAGAAACAAGAGCACGCACCGTGAAACACAACACAGTGCTTGATATACACACCAAGTATAGTTTGGAGTACCTCTCATCCTTGATGATGTAACTTCCCCCAGACTCGCACAACGGTTGGTTTCCCGCCAAGCTGCTGCTCCCCTGGCGCAAGGTGAAGAACTAAGGAGGATACTGTGCTGTATGTCGCCTGGTTGCATGGCGAGGAGAGATGCGATGACAAAATGTGAGTGTCGCTTGACAACACATCATTGGAGCCCCTAGGCAAGCTTCCGGACCCTTATCCGCGATATTGAAGGGGATTGGAGGGGGTCCAGTAATGATTCTTGCACACCCGCTGTATTTGGCACCTTTTAAAATGCTTCCAGGGACTTCTCAGCCAAGGTGGGCAGAATGTTAATGGCCCCGATGTAGTCGCCCCCATTGTTTGTCGCTATGTAGTAGATCACTTTGGATATTTTGGTACCAACCTTAGCCACGGCTATTTCACGACGGACATAGATTAGCCGATGAGATAGTGGTCGTTGCCTTAACTCCCTGTTTAGATCAAATGTGCAACGTGGAACGCCAACGATCACCATCGTATGTCAACTTGTCGGACTTTGGTTTGTTACATAGTTGGCCTGTCAAGATATGCTGAAGGATGAGAGGTGAGGCCAGGAAGGTCGTTGTACATTGTGCAAGGACACAAGCATGATAAGGCAAGAAGACGAGTGATGGGTCAGCCGAGCCGAGTGAGGCTCTTGGATTCTTTGCAACCCGACCTCCCGCCTTTGTTCTCCAATAAGAGATGCCCACCTGGGGATGCAGGTACTCCATGGGCAACACACCACCGCAGCCAACTTGCCGATCGAGGGACGACGGGATGTGCGGGAGCAATAGATGGACTGGATGTCTTTGGCCACCAGTTCGTCTTCGGCTGCTTATAGGCGGGAGAGGCGGGATAAGCGGGACAGACGGGACGGGAATGGTATGTAAGGCGACAAACACACCTCAGCTTGCATGTTCTGCTCACAGCCCGATTGTGACTTGCACCGGCCCGGCATCGAGGGTGGACTAGAGCCAGTAAACTTGTTCGGTTGGTATGCGTGCACTCGGGATCTCGACCCCATTGTCTGACGTGAGAGAGCAGTGACACCGAAGAATCGGGAACCGGCGCCGGCACCGGGAAGCATTAACTGTGTGGTGATAGGTTGTGTGGCTTGGGGGAATGGAGAACAAACTTGGAAGTGAGCGTATATACACGTAATAGTAACGAGCAACAAAATGGATGGCACACGGGTTGAGGATCAGACAAACGGTCATGACCTCAGTAACAAAGGAAAAGGAAAGGAAAAGGCATTTGGTTGCCAGCACTCAAGCGTTGACGTTCCCCCCCCCCCCCCCCCCCCAACGGCAGACGGGTAGGTGCATTATCACCCATCATCACTCCCGTCCATCACCAGCGACCATCCACCAAGCATCGTAATGAGAATGATGAAGTTGAGACACTAGGTTGTTTTCGTAAGTAATCGACACTCGACCAACTTGGGGAGATTGAAGGGAAGGAACAAAATCTGGCGAGAATTGGGAGAGACAGAGAGTCAATCGTGAACAGAGCAACGCACCTTCCCTTCATGCTCAGTACTTACCTAGATACCGTACCTACCTCAATGTTAAGGCAGGAACGACTCCGGAAATTTCTCCGCGTCTGAGGGAACAATTGATAAAGTGTGCTCTATGACGTATTAGGGCAGGGCAGCACAGAGCAGGGTCGCCCGACGATAGACCACCAGGGCTTCCTGCCGGTAAATGCACTTTCATTTTCTTTGCCCTCCAGCCTCTTTCCCTGGCAGACCACGATGCCACTTCTCACATACTTGCATGACATGGCGGTTGGCGAGTTCAGTTGGTTCCCGAACTGGTTTCAGCCGCTGCAACCTGGCTGCAACCTGCTGCGGCCGTCAACCACCCACTTCATTTCCTCAAATCCTTCTAGATTCATGCCAAAGAAGCAACCAAGAGAACCGTGGGTGACCATTCTTCTGTGTCTTTGCTAATCGGCCGACCTGAACACTCCATGAGCCTCCGTCGTCGTCGTCGTCGTCCACACCAAGAAACATTATCCCACAAGTCTATGACCGAGACATTCACGACTCAGGGGCAGTCGCTCCGGACAAGAGGTAAGGGGGAGGTTTTACCTTTCCACCCATTTCTCAGTCGTCGGTTCGGGTCCAAGACACGCTGGCCATTTCCATGATTGGCTTTTTACCAATGATTCAACGCACACACCGCGTACAAACCGACACTGACAGACCTTAGGGGTCCTTTTGACCGACGATGGATGCGAGCGCTATGCTACACCGCTTCGCTGTCATCGACCACGTGCCTGACACTTGTCTGTGTCTGCCATGCACTCAAATAATCCGATCATTCTACATATTGCCGCTTCAGAACATCTCGTTGTGCTATTGGGTCACAATCGTCGAAGCTCTTATGCAAAAGGTGTTGTTGATGAAGGAGTCGGCCTCGGGCGGTGCGGACACTATCTGGTCGATCAAGGACAAAATCAACAAAAAGCACGATCGAGTCCGGATCCAGATCGACTGACTCAAGTCTTCGGCCCCAACCAACCGGTGTCAACAAGAAACATGGCAGAAGCTCTGTCATGTCTCACCAGCCAGCGTTGACAGGACCCTGCTTGCCGATCCTTTGAAGCCATCAACCTTGCAATCCCCAACGGAAATGCAGTCTTCACCATGGTCATCTTCAATATTCCCTCCTTGGGCCTCTACGATTGGACATGACAACAAAAAGGGCGGCTCTTGATCGCCAGGGGGGCCATGTGCTCGGCTCGATCCGGACGTCTCACACTCCTTTTCCGTGGCTTTTCCGTATTCGACACCGATGCGCTTCGGTCTCCTCCTAGCGCTCGCCATGTAGGTGAATCTACCAAAAGCAATATTGTCCAAGTCTGGCCTATACCCCGATTGCACGTGGGGTTTGCCGGTGGGCCCATCCAGATCTGCTAGGGCACTTATCAACTCGTACTAGGTGCGCTACTCCGTGGTGTGCTTGAGGGGAAGGATTTTCAGCGAGGCCGATAACTTCTCCGGCGGCTGTCTGTCACACATAGATCGACAACCGAAATGTAAGGTTTGGTATCTGTTCTCATAATCGCAGGGCATGGAGCGGGCTTCGGACATAGTTTCCTATGGTTTCGTTTTGCCTCATGTCTAACATCGGATCGAGACACCCAATCTATCACTCCGAGCCTTCGACTCAGGAGAATCCTTACAAAGTTTTGCACTCAATATGCATATCACAGCCAATGTTCCTCCGATTTCCCAACAAAGCGGTAAGGGTGTCGGCCTGTTCCAAGACAGATGGCGGCTCGGCCACATTTGTGAGCCCTGTTCTTCGTCCAACAAAGCAGACTTATGCTACATCCCGTAAGGAATTTACATCACCATTAAAATCTAGAATGCCATGTTTTCTGCGCGTTAAGATGAGATCGTCCCCGCGCTAACTTTTCCTTGGATCTCGGTTTTCTAGACGAAAGACAACGGAGCTTAGAAGAGCTATCCGCCGGGAACGGAGTGGAAGGTCTGAAAGGACCCTGAACACAGGATCTCATCTCGCATACCTTATACGGACCATCGCTCCAATGGCATTGCCAAGATGGGGAGCTGAGAGCCCCATGGTCTCCCGGGCGAGGCGCCACGTCTCAACTTCAACCTCCCCATTACATTGTCAGCTCTGTCCGAGATATACAGCGCCTGCCACCGTGGGATGATGGAGTTCAACTACCGGCCGAAGGAGGGAAAAGTGAACTAAGATTGACGGCCAGTTACCTCATCTGATCCGTCTTCTTGAAGGGCCCTTCCAAAGATATTCGAATCCTGGCACCCACGAGGCACGATCGATTAATGAAGTGGTTGCTCCTTTGGCGGTGGCTGCCGCGTGTTATCGTTACCCAAGCCATATCCGTCCCTGCCTCTCTGCATCTGGAAGCATTGTCCAGCAGAGTTGAGAGCGTCATGTCAACTCTACAGCGCCATACTTCCCGTGGCCCTTGCCATGTGCGCCGTCCATGTCCATGACGGGGATGTTAACTAACTGGTTTCTATTCAGGCTTGCTTCTTCCTGCAGGAGATTGACTTCTCTCCATATTGTCTCAGGGTCCTTTTTACTCACGGGACTGTCATGCATGCATGCAGGCTTTCACAGTGCGCCTGATCATGTGCCTGGATAGAGAGGTACCACCAACAATGGATGGCATGGTAGGTATTGAACTAGTATGAGAGAGTCAGTGGAGACTGTGCTGGGCTGGGAGGAAGGAAGAGGTCGAAACGGAGCAAATACCGTACGGTGCTGATACGAAAACGGACGGTAATATTACCAGGATTTTTATGCGAACTTGCGCCTCATGCTAATTTTTTCTAACCTCTCCGAGTCACTACGCGTTAAGACTAGTGATTTCTGAAATTGCCGAGTCGCGATAACAAACTTCGACAATGTGGTCTTCATTTTCAGTTAACTAGTAAACAAGAAAATCAAACAACCCCATCGTCCAATCCAGGGGGGTCGTGGGTATCTAAGCAGAACAAAGGATGTTGCGCGAAAAGAGAAGAATAGCGACAGTAAAGCAACAATATAACTCCATGAAAGACGAATTCATCAAGTCATGAATCAAGCATAAGCTCTCCCCTCCGTCACAATCCCCGCTCTCCCGGCAACAGAAAAGCCACAATGTCCAATCCCCACCTGCGTCGCCGTCGCTTCTTCATTGTGACCTGCTCCTCCTTTTTCTACCACTCCCCACACCAACGGCCTCTTCCAGATCTCCGTAGTATTATCATTAGTACCGGAAGCCTCAGGCACACCACTAAACACCACACTCCTCCGTCTTCCCTTTCCCTTCCCCTTCTCGTCGCTAGAAACAAAATGACACTGAGCGCTGATAACAGCACTACAACTTCCTCCAGGCAATGCCATTGGGTTTCCAAGTAGTATCGGTAGTACCATGTTCTTCTCAACAGGTGGTGGTGGTGGTGGTGCCTCGGTGGTGACTCCAGATGCAGGGGTGAGTTTGCCACTAGGAGTAATAATAGTAGTAGTGGTTGTTGTTGTTGATAAGGTAGAGAATTTAGGAGTGGATGTCCTAAACCCCAGCACCATGGTGAATGCGAAAAGTAGAACCAAAAGGCCGAGAAGAGTGGTGAGGCCTACGCCGCTTGTGAAGAGGGCTGTTGTTGTTGCTGTTGTTGTTGCTGTTGTTGTTGTTGTTGTTGTTGTCAGAGAGGTTGCAGTCCATGCTATCTGAGGGTCTTGTCAGTGGAAGTTTGTTTCTTATCGTTCTTGTTCAGAGAGGTTGCAGTCCATGCTATCTGAGGGTCTTGTCAGTGGATCACTTCCTCTCTTTCCACTCCTTCTGGTGAAGGGGTGGCAAGGTGCAAGGCACCGAAACTCTGACTCATCACGAACCCCATGGCTGAAAAGACAGCTAGCAGAAACCATGACACGGGCCGGGGAAGGGTGAAATAGAGAGAGGTCGTCTGCGAGCTGTCGGGGTCGATGTCGAGGGCTGAGGAGGAGACGCGGAGTGGTCGTGCTTGCAATTTTTTCGAACTGTGGTCCTGGTGACCGGAGTAGAAGAGGGAGGATTCGTGCGAGAGAAAGTACGTCGTCAAGAGCGGGTTAAGGGCAAGGTAAAGCGCTGAAAGGAGGAGATGGGGGAGGGAGGAGATGATGATTGCGGCCCATGCTGGAATCGTTATTTGTGTTGCTGCTGTAGGTAACTGTTGGTTCAGGGGAATAAGTGGCTCGTTTTTCGCTAGAGACGAGTCTGGGGAGGAGGAAGTTAAGTGACTGTTCCCAAATGGCGAGAGACCATTTCCATCATCATGCTTGATAGAAAATGCCAGCGCAGCAGCTGTAGCGCCCGCGCAGATAGCCCATGCTAATCCCGTGATGATCCAGCGTGGTAGAGAGGGGGCCTGGAACCAGTAGTGGCGTTTAGGCACCCAGTGTTTTGGTTGGCTCGCGCCGGACGCCCAGTTGCCTTGCTTGACGTCGTCTTTGGAGAGGAGGCAGGCTCCGCGGGTGATAGGATCGGGATCGCTGAGAAAGGAGGTGACGGCGTCTCCTAGGGTGACGAGCGGGGTGAAGGATGGTCCTCGCTTGAAGAAGATGAGGACGGAGGTGAGAGAGAGGATGATGATGAGGTTGAGGAGGACGGTGATGCCGAGGAGGGAGCCATAGACGTTGAGTTGACATGTTGGCTGGGGAGTGTCGGCGGTGATGGTTCGGGTTGATTGGGCGGGGCCGGACGGAAAGATTATGGAATTAGAACTGGGGCCGTGGTTAGCATTGTGAAAGACCCTAGCGTTCTCGGAAAGAAAGGTGGACTCACATTACTTGCGTAGAGATGGCCGTTAGAAGAATGAAAACGGCTAAGAGACTCCTGTTCTTTGCAACATACCCCAGATTTCGAAACGACGGTATCCCGATATCCAGCCATTTCTTCCTCTCATGCGCCGCCGTAACCTCCTCCCTCGTAGGACTGCTCAGTACCTGGAACGTATAGTTTGCCCCCGCCAACAAGATAACCCCAAGAATGTTGATGGCAGCATGTACCCCCCAATCGATCGCCGAAATAGTCGAGCATGAGCCGTCGTAGATGACGATCCTCCCCTCGAAGACATCTTTCCCCTTCCATGCCGCCAGAATCACGAAGCAAATGATCCCTACCAGCAAAATCAGCCCTGCCAAGAAAGCGTTCAATCCAACGCCTGCCCTCCACCCTGCTGTCCACCTCTTCCACCTCCTGCTTCGACTTCCTCCCGTTACCGCGCCACTCCACCTCTTCCACCGCGACCCTGTCCCGGGAAGTATGTACCTCCTCTCCTCGTCCCCGCCCGCCACACCTCCATCCTCTCCCCAAAACCCTAGCCTCTCGCTGCTCGTCTCCGAAAGCACATCCTCCAGAATACCAGCTCTCGACTCATGCGGCCGATGCTGATGCATCATATCCACCGCTCTCTCGCCCAGCTTGCCCCCGTTCCTCTTCCTCCTCGCCACCATCTCCGGTGTCTCGCCGCGTAGATAATTGATGACATAATCAGGAATCAGGTCCTGGTTGACCGACTCCACGTCTTCTTCCCGTATCCGTCTCGGGTCCCAAGTTGCTCGGCGGGCAAAAGTGGGACGCTCTGGTCCGCCGCCGCCTCCTCCACCACCTCCTCCAGCAGATGAGACGGTCCCCGTTCGTGTCGTCCGGGTCGCTTTCGTCGCTCTCGTGGGTGGTCGGCCGGAAAGACCGGTGAAGGAAAATAAGCTGCTGGCATCGGTGGCTATGGATTGGAAGGGCCATTGGATTAGGGAGCGGTGGCGGCGGCGTTCTTGGATGAAGGAGCGCTGGTTTCGAACGACTTGGGAGGAGGAATTTGAGGGAGTGGAACCCTCCATTATACTCTCCATTCTTTTCAGAGGATGTGTTGTTGGCTGCTTTGTAGCAGCACTACTTAAGTAACGAATGTAATAAGCACTGAGGCTCAACGAACGAGTAAAAGATGATCACTATCGAGATGATGATGATGCGAAGGAGAGCCTCGAGGAGGAAGAGTGACACGGTATGACACTGGTCATAAGGCGCGCGTGTTGAAATTCTTGGTTGGTTTGCTTGGAGGATATCTGAAACGAGGAGAGAACGTAGGCTCTAGCCGTCATGATGGGCAACAAGGATAAAGAGAGGGAAAAGGGTGCGGGAAAGGGTCAGTGGTAGGTATGAGTCTTGTATCAGACCTTGACTGGGTTGTCGTCGAGATGCACGGTAACGCAGGCATAGACGGTAGGATCGCTTCTCGCACCATGGTAGGTCAAGCACACAGAGTGACGAGAGAGAGCGTCTTGGCTGAGTGAGAGCTCCCATGATGCCGATGTCTTGTTGGGTGTTCAAGGCTGCGGTTGCCAAGATGACGCTATAACAGGACCTCATTTATGCTTCTGCAGTGCCGGGTCCAGGTCCTGGCGCGGCCAATCGGTCATGCTCAATGTGAGCTTTCGGCGGTCGTTTCATGGTACAAACGGGGCGAGTGATGAAGAAAGGGCTGGCTTATCGCAGGCTTTCTTTGGCCATCTTGCCAGCTTCATCATCATCACTCCGCCAGGTCGACCTTTCGACCGAGCTATGGAAGACGACTGAACACGCTCTGTCTCTTCTCTGGTCCATGTCGTTTCTGAAGACGATCCAGAAATGGAATTCTTCTGAGGCGGAACCACGGCACAGCCCATTTCCGATCCAAGGCGAATCATCTTGTCTGGTGCGGTGGTGGTTGTTGGGATGTTGTAGGGGTCAAGTTTATGCGGCGCGGGGAAGTTGACAGAGGATTGGATTGACGTTCGGATAATATCAGCAAGGAGCTCCAGTCGCGTTTCAGAACCACGAGGCCCGATGCAACCTTATTCTTCAAGTTGCTGTCCCGGTCATCTAGATCTTCCCTGTCGAAACATATTAGCCACGTTTCTATAGGTATGAGCAGGGATAGGGATTAATATGTGATGCTGTGTAGAAGAACATGTGGAGAAAGAGGAGTTCGCGTGGTCAAGAGAGAGTTAGTTGGTGGAAGTCATGAGGTATGTATGTATAGACGTGAGCGAGATCTTATCGATAGGACGAACAGCTGCTCAACACCATCAACCTCAAGGTGACAGATATCTTGATGAAAATCACAAGGCATGTCTGATGTTCAAAGTCGAAGAAGGAATAAAAAAAATGATAAGAGGATGGGGGGGGAAATGGAAATGTCAAAAAGCGAAAAAAGAAATGCCCAATAACAGGATTGAACTGTTGACCTTCGCATTGACTTGATATCAGAATTCCGATATTAGTACGACGCTCTAACCAGCTGAGCTAATCGGGCTGTTTTCGTTGAAGTACAGAAAGCTCCATGACCAATTATGGTGGTAAGTAGAATCCCAGCAAGTCCCAAAGGTGTGGTCCTCCTTGTCGTATGCCCAGCTGAATATGTAGAACGAAGTGACAGTCTCACAGTGTAGGACTTTTCGGCAGCTCTATAAACATGCAGACACAGCGTCAAAATGCAAACGTTTATAATCATGTTTTCGATTTCAAGAACGATGACCCAAGAAAATAATACCATACAAAGATCGTGCGTAAGCGTATCCAAGGCAATGCAGTCTAACGATGATGCAAAAAAAGAACACAAACGTCCACCCTCCCCTCACATTCCTGCTCCTTGCCTAGACTTTTAGCATGCTGCCGCTTTCCACCATGACTCCTATTATTCCAACCCGAGGATTGGGGCATCCCCCGATCACGTCGTAAAACACAAGAAAGCCCCAGAGTATAGTTCACGCTACTCTTCCCCTTCAAACTTCCTCTTCACGCCGTTCACCTTGGTGTCGTCATCCTTCAACTCCTGTTCCAAAGCTGCCTGGCCAGCGCCGCCACAAGGGCTCTTACCCTTGAGGAAGGTGCCAAACAGCTTCTCCAGATGCGGCACCTGACCGATCAAATCATCAATGCCCAGCCCACGCTTCTCTCTCTCACCGATGGCGATAACGGCGCCGACAAGATCCTTGGTGACCTCTTCCGAGACCACGCTGTCCTTCTTGTACTCGGGGTGCTTCGCGATGAACTCACGGATCCACTTGGCCGCCGTCCAGAGCTCTCCGCTCGCGCGCTTGCGGATGAGATCGAGGTAACGGGCGAGGCCGCAGCGCGTGGCGACGTCCATGTTGACGCTGTCGAGGTAGCTTTCCACCAGAGGAATAAGTCCGGGGAACTCTTCGCCCTCCTCGGCATCCTCGGTCACCTCCTTGGAAGTCGCCTTGGCGTACGCGGTGCCGTTGATGACCTCGTTGACGCTCATGAGTCTGTATTCGTCCTCGACGGGTCCCAGGGGCGGAGTGGCGGGTCTGCTTGGTCCGCCACTAGGTGTGCTGGCGCCGGAAGCCGATCTGGAGCCGCTGCCGCCCCTGCGAGTGGTGCGGACGGGGAATGGGTTCTTGCGGAACCAGAACTTCTTCTCGAGATTGGCGTTGCGGGCGTGCGCAGTCTCCATATTCTCGTCCACCTTCACGATGGGGATGTAGAAATTGAGATCAAAACTGAGGATGGCACGGGTAATAAGGACGATGAAGACGGAGAAGGCGGCATTCTCAAAGTCGGTAATTTGGATCTCCATCGGCCGGAACTCCACACGCCAACCAATGCTGTTGTCAGCCGGAGGCGGCTTGAAGCGCATATGCTGCCAGTTAGTACTCTGGATGTTCTCGAAGTGATCCGTCTTGGTCAGGTCGAGCTCCTGGAGATCCTCGTTAAAGATGACGATAGGATCACGGATGAAAAGATGGGCAAAGTGGGTAGCCAAACGGTCGTCCATGCCACCGTCGAGCAACTGCTGCTTAATCTCGGGGTCGATGACGAGGTTAGGATCCATGTACTCGGGTCGCAACCGGGAATCGGTAGAGATATAAGTTGAGTTTGAAGCATAACGCGACTTGGGAATCCGCCATCTATCGTTCTTCAGAGGCTATGAAACGGTCAGCATTGAACCAAAGATTGAAATAATGATGTTCCTACCTTCTCCCCCATCTCCTCAGGTGTGCGGTCGTCCACAGCCCTGCTGATTTGGTTCCACCTGACATCGGTATCGGCGAGAAAGCCCTTGTACACCGGTGTCGCCGCAGTGAGCGCAAGTAGGATAGGGCCTAGAGGGCTCAACTGGTCGTACATCTTCCGGCCTTCGGTGATGTTTTTGGCCTGGAAGGTAATCTGCAGACAACAGCTGCCCATGCCAAAAGCCATGGCATCCATGTGGATGAAGTTGTCGGGAGCGGCACCGTTGCGGACATCATCGTCCTCGGGCCAGTTGTGCAGGTCATAGTTGACGGTTGGGTCCTTCCATGGCCACGGCGTGTTCTCGTCTCTGAAAACCGGAACATTGACCTGGACTTTCCGGCCGCGGCGCGAACGGATGTTGGCAGCAAGGGTAGGGAAGCGGATGTGAGGGTTGGCGATTTCGTCGGGGACAAACTGCGATCGCAGCTTGGGGCCGGAGACGGGATAGGATGGTTCAGTGAACCCTCCTGGGCTGCCGATTCGGGGGAAGGTGGTGAGCGTGATGGGATGCTCGTTCGGAAGCATGTGGTCCTTCGCAATGCACCTCCTCAACTTCATGTCGGCCTCAACGGTCAACAAATCCTTGAAGTCGATGCCCCATGGCTTTCCGGGGGTGGCTTCAAGCATGAACCTTCCGAATTCCGGATGGAAAACGGGAAGAGTTACGTTCCCGGCATCTCCATTAGCCTCGGTACCAGGGGCACAGTCTCCTGTTACCTTGAGAGTCTTGCTGTCGGCCAAAGCCTTGAGAATATCGGCCTGGCGAAGGGAGAGCAGGACCTTTGAATCATCTTTGGAGTAGTTGACGACCAAGTACTCGATCTAAGCGTAGAGTTAGGACCTTGAGAGTTGGTAAATCAAGCCATCAGGGACAAAACGTACCTCATCACCCCAGAGCATAGCGTCGCGCTCCTTGCCCTTGGCCTTGTTCCATATTTCGAGTAGTTGCTGGTATCACGTTAGCATACGTCTGCGGGGACTTTTTCTCGTGCATTCCGCAGGAAGGCATTGAGGGGCCGGAGTAAAGAATGTCGAGGCTCACCTTAATGCCCCAGGCGCGAACGAGATGTGCTTGTTGCTTGGCATCTGGCCAATCCAGAGCCGTTCCCAAAGCTCTTTTGTAGTATCAGTATATGGCGTCATGGGCAGCGGGACTGGTGTTTTCCCCCGGATGCGACTTGCGCGGCAAGTGTGCATATCGGGGACGGGTATACGTACAGAAGACCCATTGTTACTGTGACGACTGCTCTTTGGTGAGTGGAGAGATGGAGGCCGTTGGATGAAATCCGTTTTCTTGGTAAATCCGCTGCCGCTTCTTGGACAGCTGTCAGAAATGCTCCGGGTAAGAGCAGTTGTCTTTTTCGTCCGCGTTGACAAGCTGACTGTACGTTTATTTCCACTGAGCAGAAAGCTACTGGTGACGGTATAGTAAGTGCGCGACTGATGAGCAGCTCTGACCAGAGTCCAACGATGATGAGCCACCTAACTCGATGAGGCGACTTGACGACCTCCAAATCTCAGTCGCTGTTGATGACTCGTGCTGGGGCAGACTTCGCTGTGGTGATGCAGCACGCCGGGCCGCACACCTTTAAGAGAAGACCTGGTTGATCACGGTTGCGGGATAGTATAACAGTCTACACATATCATCGGGACCACCCCTCTCTCTCTTCGTCCCCCGTGGGGAAGAAGTGAAGAGAGAAGTTTCATCCCCCACGTTAGCCAAGCGCCCATTTGCAATCCCGGGTTGAGTGTGAGTAGGTTGAAGGATGCCGAGATGAGCGCCTCTTTCCCATGGAGGTGTTGGAGTCGAAGGCGTCATAAACGCACGCAATCTCCTCGAGATGCACTGGGCAATTGAAGCGCTTGATAGCTGCACCTGGCTGAGTCTAACCAAAATGATTGGCGGGGCGTAGATAGCGGATTGGGGATGAAAATCGCGGGGCAGAGAATTGTGACTGGCTAACAGAAAACGAAAAATGCATTGTACATACCAGCAGGCGTGACTGGGGACCTTTTTGACTGAATCAACCCGTCAAGCGTGGGTGAGTGTATTAGGGAAAGAGAAGGCAAGCAATTATGAGGCTTCGGTTTGGGTAGTCTGATGTTTCCCCCGTTTAGTAATAAAAAGTCAAAAGATCCCGGAAGGTTGGAGATATAAAGGAGGTCCGTAGAGGTAGTGGTGCCAGTGGTCCCGTAGTATGGAGTAAAATGTGTATAAATCTGCAGATGGCGTCGATGACGGAATATCAGTACCGTGCCAATAGCATGCGGATGCGTACGGTGCAGTTATCGAACATGAACTGACTCCGATATCGATATCCGTTGAGGTTCTCCCGTCCTGTCAACCCTTGGAGAAATTGAGACGGCCGAGCCAGTTGCGCATGAGAAATTGAAGTGTCAAGTCTCAGGTGTTGTAATAACGAGACGGACTTGAAAATTTTGAATTTTTCGACCGGGGGTAGATATACTTGGAGACGGCGGTTCCCGTTAAGAGCAACCAACAAGCGAGAAGGGGAAGCCGAACAAGAGCAACAACACAATTCGAAGAAACGGCATAGAAAACCAATGCGGTACTGTAGCAATAACCTACTTGGCGAGTAATGGCCAGACCCGATCGACACTGTAGACTAGGTGGTGAGTCGGCAGGGCCCGCGGCAGTGCGTGAAAAATGAAAGTTAGGTCTCGGCTCGATGGCCTGTTAACAAAACTGGAGTCTCTCTTTTTCTCCCGAATCCTTCCATAGCGGTTGCATGTGGAGTCGGGTATCCGCCGATTTCCGCAATTTGCACAGCGCTTTCGGACGCCGAGGCGGGTTGCAATTAAGGTTCCTATCAGATTTGTGAGTGGATTTATGGCTAAGCCATTTCTAGGTTAGCCACTTAACTATCTGATTTTTAGCATTGGGGACCCTCTTCTAGGTATCTTTAATACCTCTCAGTCTTTTGGTACGGTTGTACTATAGATTATTTAATAATTAATTTTATATAGTCAATTTAACAATTAATAATTTGATTTGCATATTTACAATAGCGTAACGATACAAATTTAATTAATAGTTAAGCAACTATTACTACTACTCTCTTATAATACTATTTTTGAAAGAAACTACTGATAAAGCAATCTCCGTCGTCCTGAAGTCCTTCAAAGATTAGCTCAGCTAGTACAAAGCTTTTAAGCATCTAGTTAATAGCAATATTCAATTTAGTAATTAGCTTCTTAAAAGAATCTTTATATTTTACTAAGTTCTATTACTTAAGATGGAAGATTATTTTATAACAAATTAAGTAAAGAAATGTATTTTTATGGTTAAGAAGAACTTTAATCGCTTTAACTAGAGTATTAAAACTTGAAAACTATTTATTAATAATTTTACAGACCTAATTAATTTAAGAAATATAAATAATACTGACGGCACTAGTATTAATAATTAATTTAAAAACGAAATAGATGATAACAACGAAGAACATTTTGAAAAAGATTTGGAGGAAGAAAATACTTATTTAATGAAATAAAATATAAAGAAAATATAGTTGCTAAAGTCAATACGGATTTTATTACTGTTGGAGAAGTAGCGTTTAATTAAACCAACGTGACTTATTTAGTTTGCTTATGAATATTGGAAGGATTTTAATAATACTAATATAATAGTATATAAATAGATAGGTATTTACGTTGCTACTTATTACATTATGTAAGGGTTCTACGAGGTAT